AGGTTTGCACTTAAGTGTTTACTTAAACATCATGGGACATGATCATGGGTTCCGAAGCACCTTAAAATAAACAGATTTCCAGAAATTTCAACTCAACTCAACTGTTTTGACAACTTTTCCTTTGCCCCATTAGCCTTCTTAGATTTAATGCATTACCGATATTGATGATGTATGGCAACGTATAAGGTAAAAACTTCAACTGAAGAAAAAAAAAATCACTTGGTTTCAATAAAAATTGTAATCCTTCTTTTAATCGTCTATGGGAGTTTTTGCTCATCAATTTTGAAGAATGAAATTCTCCCGCAGTATGACGTCACAATAAAGATAATCCGAAATTATTCAATGTCGCATAAATCAATAAAACGAAAAAATTATTATGGAAGAGTAGGCTTCATTGTGATTGCGTCTTCCTAAAAGAGTTTATTTTCCAATCGAATGGACTACAACATTTAAGGTTAGACAAATTTAGACAAATTATGGAATATCTATCTATGAAAGTATTTTGGATACAATTATTAGACAATACGGACTAAATAGTTCTTTTGACCTCCAAGGTTAAAAACTTCGGCAAGGGACAGAACTCGTGATTTTGAAACGTTTTACAGTGTAGGGCAGTCAAGATCATTTTCAGAGAGGATGAAACCGACCCCTGCTTCTCACCCAAGACTTCTGCCAGCTTCAAAAGCATTAACTCATTGTGCTCTAGAGGTAACATTTTTGGAGTTCCAAGCCAAATATTTGTCCAAACCCAAGAAAGAATGCCACTGGCATTGTCAGAATCCCATTTCACACATTAGACATTTGAAATAAAAAAAATTGTCAAATTGCTCACAGGTATAAGTGTATAAGATAACCTTTGGTGAAATATTTGAGATTGTGCCTGTCGATTGTTTTGTATTATAGAATTTGATAATGCATTTCATATGCTTCACCACAGGCTATTCTGTCCATAAGTGCCTGTGATTTGGCTTATAGATGTGATTGAATTTTCAGTTTTTACGCACAGGAATGTTGATGATATGTTGATGATGTCAAATACTAAATCATTCAATATTTCCTTTTATGTAAATACTTTTTATTTACTAAAACTCTTTTCCAAATTTGAGCACTGTTGTTTTGATAATCTGATGTAGGCCTCACTGGGGTTTTGCTCAGATAAAACTATTTCTGATTATATCAATTTTGAAAATATTAAAAAAGAATCTAAAAAACATGTTGTTACTCAGAGTTTCATGCTCTACGATCTCAAGACCTCAGTTTCAAGCTATGCGATCATCAGACCTAGAGTTTCATGCTATGCAATCTTCAGTAAAAATATGAACTGTCCTGGTAGTGTTTTATGAAGTGATGGTAGGATTGCGTATGTATTTGGTGCTCTACAATTTTAGACTGGTACCATCAGTAAGTTTAGTCATAGCTTCCAGATTTAATTTGTATTTACATGCCTTATACTGTTGATGATAATTTTAACGATCTAATTAAATCCTGGTAATTTTTTTTACAGGCCAGTATTTATGGTAAATGTGTTATTAGTAAGCACCCAGGAATTCAGAAAAATAATTGTTTTAAAGAATTTGAAGCATTGAAAAATTGCATGAAAAAAGCTGTAAGTACTATTTTTGAAAAACTCCCATGATATAAGCCAGAACATGTATTTTTGACATTTATCTTCCTAATCTTTTTAATTAAAATATTTATAACACTTTTTATAATATCATATTCAGTTGTTTCAGTCTTTGAAGGCTTAATGGTATATCTGAGGTAAAGAACAGTATGATCAAAACAAATTATTTATTTTATGTATCAACATTAAATTTAAACGGAAATGAAACATTTTCTTTCAGAGTAAAGGGAAATAATTTAAACTTCTACATTTAATTATGGCGTCTGGGAGTAATAAATATTGTACAGAATGTGGTTTACAAACATTGATTGAAGAGAATGGCCAAGCAGTCTGTGCTGAATGTGGTGCCATCACTGATACAGTACAACTTGTGGCAGGAGGAACAGAACATTTTAATTTTGTTGTGACTGAACAAGTGATGTCTAGAAAGGAGAAATACGCCAAAGAATCTGAATCTTTACACCAAGGTAGAATGAAAACAGGAGAACTTTGCGACAAGTTGCATCTAGATTGTGGAATGAAAGAGGCAGCTACTCAAAAGTATGTCCAGCTGTTCAAACATAATGACTTTCGTACGATTCTCAAAGTGTTTAAAATGGCATTAGTGTCTGTATGTGTATATATCGAGGCAAGACAGAATAACATCCCAATTTTAATGTATGATGTTACATCAATTCTTGGATTCGAAGAGAAAAAGAAATTTCAGAAGGTACTTCATAAAGCTAAAGCCATTCTTGGTCTTGAAGTTCAAAGCCTTTCTTACGTGGAATCTGTTTTTGCATTGCTGAGAAAGACGAGTTTTCCTGAAGAACTGTTTAAACAAGTTGTGGATATGTGCAAGGTTCTAGATCAATACTGGATAAAACGAAGTATAGGTCTAACTAATACTATATACCCCAGTGCCTATTTTGTTTGGCTGGGTTCTTCCAAGTGTCCAGACAAGGGTCTAAAATATTCCCAATTTTGTTTAAACTTTAAATTATCACGATCTCAAGTGGGAGATAAATGTTCAAAAGAATCTAAAACATTTTTGATTAAATTGGCTAAAGAGATACCATGGATAGGTGACATTAAAAAACTGAATCGGAAAACTGTATTTTATTATTTATCAGATATCATAAGATATCAAGCCACATTAATGAATAAATCAAGGGTCGTTTCTAAAAGGGTTCCTCCGAGCAAGCGTAAAACATTTGAAGAATCCCCAGATGAAATTGAAAAGAAAGACCTACAGATTCGCAATGAAAATCCAAACCTGCATGATATTGAATTAGATGAAGAGGAATTTCATGAAGAAATGTATGATTTTTTTAAAACGCCCGAGGAAATTGATAGTTTAACGAAGTTAAAATCATTAGTCTCTGATGAAGATCTCACAGTGTGTGAATTAAAACGGAAAAAAGTTTCAACCTAACCTAAATTTTCAATATTGTCTTAGATTTGGCTATAAGGTTTGGTTGACCTTTCATTATTATGAAAACTATGTTGGTTATTTTTGTGTCAATTTTTTTGATATTTATATTTTGTTATTATAATATCACATATTATATATAAACTATATCACAGCAAAGCTTTATTGAATAGCGTATGAAGACAAACAGCAATAAGAATAACTTTATTCTAGAAAATTTTCAGAAAATTTAAAGAACCATAAATTAAATATACATTGTTCAGTACACTACATGTTTGTTTCATCATGTGATCCTTTACAATGCTAACCTTTGTGATAGACAATATATATGTGAGCTTCCGCTCCACTGACAAACACTATTTCATAATGTCTTCAGGTACTCCTTTCAGATAATCATTCCAAGCCCAAACAGATTCAAAGACAAAGTCCAAAATGAATTTCAATCCATGTTCATCTCATCTGGAAGGCAGATTTGGATCTCAAAGTGGTTGATGTTACGGTTGATGACAATACAGAATCTTTACCAGTTACTGGTTGTCGTTTTAATATAACTTCTGATAGTAAATCACTTATCATTTTCTCTATTCCTTCTCCAGTAGCTGCTGAGGTTTCATAATATCTGTAATAACATATTATGTTCATCTCAGTTCATGGTTCTGCATATGATGGTTGTTAATATTAGCTGAACCTAATTCAATTGTTTTTTGACAAAACTTGTCTTTAATCATTATTGATCTCAAAATTATTTTTGTCAAGGATGGGGTATATTGGTAAGTTGAAATAGTTAAGAAATTCTTCTTTAAAAGATTAAAGGCATGAAATTTCCTGCTGTGTAGACATGAAGCCTCATGGGCAACTACTCGTTATAGTTTTTTCAAGGTACAGTACAAATAATAGTTCACCTACTTGAGTTTATGTTGAGATGCCCATTTTTTACCTTCTCCTGTAGAAATAACTCGATTATGTTTAGGACAATCAGTCTGAAAGTGAAAGTAAATTGTGCAGTAGCTGATGCAATTTCGTGAAGATAATGTTCAGACACTTTTGAAAGTAATAGGATTGCATTTGTCAATATTGAATGGATGACTGTTATAGGTAACTGATATCAAAAATTTCTATAACTCCATCAGTTGGACATAGTAAAACTATTGTTTTATATATACTGACCTTATGAGCTACAAGAAAGACATCAGGATGACTATTACAATAAGAGGACAGTTCTCTCAGCCATAGTTCTAGACTATCAAATGACATCTGATTAGTTACATCGTACATGAGAAATACAGCATCTGTAGTCCCATATAGCTCATTTCTAACATCTAAATATTCGGTATTCCCTGATAAATCCCATAGATGAACCCGCACTGTAATTGATACAAAATATACAATAATAATACCTGTATATACAGTTGCATAAAAGAATTAAACCAAATGTCTAAAATAAACTTGAGTTAGTAAACTAATGTTTTATTGTCTGCTGTATCTCACAATACTGTGGCAGAATGTACCCCATACTTTTTGATGATGTATTCTTTTAGGGTTTTTCTTGTAAATTAGTTATAGTATTTTGTTATATATCCTCATTTAATAATTGATAATAATTGACATCATTAAATTCAAGAAAAGATTTATTTATCAACAGAAAATACAAGAGCAATAAAACAGACTTAGTAAGCTAACAATATTAGGTGGAAGGTGTTAGGACAATATCGGTAACAACCAGAAAACACGAAAAAATACGACTGACTACACTGTTGCATAAAGTACATTTTTAGAAAAATTAACCTTAATTTTGTTATCACCATGTAAAGAGTTCTATAGTCTACCTTCTAAATCAGCAACCTTATGTATTTTAAAACCATAATCTACACCTACTGTTGGTTGATAGCCGGGTATAAACTATAAATAGATTAATACATGTATACACTTTACTTCCATGTAAAATATAAAACACCTCTAATACACAGTTCTTTAAATAAGATCTTCAAAAAAACTCAGTGCTTACAATTCTAATAACAAATTAATTAGAAAAATTTGATTGGCTATAATTGCACATAATGAGATAAATTCTGCCATCTTTTATATTTTTATAATTATCATGGCTGCTTTAATTCAACAACTTGTCAGTAAAAATTACAGAATTTTGATTACTTTGAATTGTATAGAACTCCCTATTTTTCCCTTTTTTTGGTCAACAAACTTTTGGTAAAGTAAGAAGAATGAAAATATTAGTTACCTTGCTTTCACAGAAATGTTTAATAAGAGATGTTTTTCCACTACCAGCATTACCTATAGCAACTAGCTGAAACAGAGCATGGAACATTTATCAGAACAAAGAAATTCAAAATGTTCTAATCATAAGTTGTCTATTGTGAAATCATTTTTTGGGAATTAAAGCACAAAATCTTAATTTTCTTGAAGTTTCATCCACCAAAAGACAACTTAAGAATCTGGCAATTATTTAGAGTTTTCCTGTTGATATTTCAATAGGTACAAAACAAATGTCAAAATGTTTTCTGTGAATATTAATAACTTTAATAATAACTTTATTTGGCAACCCATTTAGACAGAAGTCTAATTTTCAGTAGGTCCCACTAAACTACAAATTATATACAAGATTACAGAAAGAATAAAAATACAGAAAATAACATAAAACATATAAACATTTACAATGTAACATGGATGAGGAAAGAAATATGAAAATGTAACCACTATGTTTCCCCACGAAACTGCGAATTGTATACTAAGTATATAATAAAAATACAGAAAATTTCATAAAACATATATACATTTACAATGTAACTGGGATGTGGTGAAAAATATAAAAATGTAAACACTGTGTTTCTTATTTGATATATATGATGGTATAAGTTTTTTAAGTAAAATGAAATGGTGAGAAAAACAAAAGAACTAAATGCTATGGAATCAATAATATTAATCAGTATTGTCAGTAAGAACAAACTTCTTCAGTTCTTGTTTAAATGTATATAAAGAAGGATTATGTTTTACAGTTTGTGGTAATGAATTCCAAAGTAAAGAAGATGTATATTGAAATGTTCTCATCATAGCAGTTTTATTACATTTCGGTATGTCTAAAGTTCGGAGTGTTTCTGATCTCAGTGTCATACTGGTTTCCGTTAATTTTGATCTTTCCGTAAATTTATTGTATAAATATTCAGGGTGTCCAGTTTGAAATATTTTGAATGTCATTATACCATGATTATATCTAATACGTTGATACAGTGTCAACCAATTTAAAATTTTGAATCATGTTTTTCATCTAATATACTCCTTGCAGCGCGTTTTTGAAATTTTTATAAAACGTCTAATTTACTCTTATTGGAATTACCCCAAACTGTAGAACAATAATCAAAAAATGGTAAAATATAACTATTATAAAACATTTTACGTAAGCTTAATGGAATGCATTTTTTAATTTGACTGAGAAGGAACTTTAAAACTTATAATTTTTGACAGTTTTTTAATTTGGAAATCCCATTCAAGATGGTGGTCAATAGTAAGGCCTAATATTGTGGTTGGGCAATTATTATATATCACTTGCGCCTCTTCTTAGTAAAAGACAAAGATAGTAATAGTAGACCAACCAAATATAAAACATGTTCAATTGTTAGACTAACCCCTGGCTTCTTCAATTAAACACCTACCTTTACCCATAATAAGGAATTCACAGCCTTATTTATATCATTAGTAAGGTGCCCAGGTTTTCTATCCATTTTATCTATCTAAAAAGACTATTCCTGTATTGGTAAGTGCTTCATTGCTATCATTGACCTGTACATCTTGTATTAGCTTCCATAGTGATTATAAACAAACTATTGAACTCTGGGATAAGGGGAAAACCCGATAATCTATTACGTTATAAAACTGAAAACCCAGTTTGACCTAATTTTGTGAAATTTGGGTCATTCAGACCTGATGTAAATTAAACCGTGTAACATATTTCAAGCAGTTTGGTCCGTGTGCTTACTAAAATAAAAGTTCCAATTTGAGATAATTCTAAGATAAAATATCGGGAAGGGTGGGAAAATCGCCAGATTTTTCCTGACCACACTTTATGATAACACGTCACATTACGCTATTTTTAGTATCAATATCAATGCGCATGTGTAAAAGAGAGGATATCCTCAGTTAAGGAACTTCCTCAAACAGAACATGTTAAGAATGAGGTTGGACTTCAGCTGAACGAATTTCACTAATATTATCCAACATCTTGATGATGGCAAATCTTGTGACAACGTATATTTTGTGGTTGGTTGGAGGCTGGTTTGGGTTGCACCATTTTTATTTAGGAAGAGATCGTCATGGATTTGTTTGGTTCTGCACTTGTGGAGGGTTTTTTGGGTTGGGATGGTTGAGAGATTTGTGGAGGATCCCAGACTATGTAGATGAATGTAATGGCACAGAGGATTCCAAAATAAACTTTGCGACCAAAGTCAACAGGTATCCTTGCCCACCATTTTCTGTGGTGCGGTTCGCTGGAGAGATCATGATGGGTAACTTATTTGGGTATTTATCTTTGGGTATGTTAACTAAAGAATTTGCAGAAACAGCTCTTGGTAATCTGGTAGCGACTTATGTCCCTCCATTTTTTGTAGCTATAGGTAAGTTCAATGAGTTTATTTCTTCTTTGCTATCATCCATCATCTTTTTTTTGTTGATTTCTTTAACATGTCATTTCAGACATGGGAGTTTCAGTAGACAATGTATTTATAAAGTGTAGGAAATACCATATTATAGTGTAAGCTTATAAATTTTAGGTGGTAGGCCTACCAGTAGTTGGTGTTTATAAATATTAGAGTGTACCAGGAGGTAGTATATTAAACAGATAGTGTGTAAAGATAATTGCCTGAGCAAAGTGAAATGTATTTTGAATATTTCCCATTATTTTTATGAGAATTGGAATAGCAGACTTGTTGATTAAAATATAAGCATGAGCACACATTATGTCTTCAAAATTTGTTTCTACAGAGGACAATTTTCAGGCAAAATTTGTGACTTAAGGTTAGATGGTACCAGAAGTTAGTGTATAAAGATTTGGGACTAACATGAGATAGGGTATTAAGGTTAAATAGTACCAGAAGTTAGTGTATAAAGATTTGGGAATAACATGAGATAGTGTATTAAGGTTAAGTGGTACCAGGAGTTAGTGTATAAAGATTTGGGACTAACAGGAGATAGGGTATTAAGGTTAGATGGTACCAGGAGTTTGTGTATAAAGATTTGGGACTAACAGGAGATAGGGTATTAAGGTTAGATGGTACCAGAAGTTCGTGTATAAAGATTTGGGAATAACAGGAGATAGGGTATTAAGATTAGGTGGTACCAGGAGTTTGTGTATAAAGATTTGGGACTAACAGGAGATAGGGTATTAAGGTTAGGTGGTACCAGAAGTTTGTGTATAAAGATTTAGGACTAACAAGAGATAGGGTATTAAGGTTAGGTGGTACCAGAAGTTAGTGTATAAAGATTTGGGAAAAACAAGAGATAGGGTATTAAGGTTAGGTGGTACCAGGAGTTAGTGTATAAAGATTTGGGACTAAGAGGAGTTAGTGTATAAAGATTTGGGACTAACAGGAGATAGGGTATTAAGGTTAGGTGGCACCAGGAGTTAGTGTATAAAGATTTGGGAATAACAGGAGATAGGGTATTTAGATGGTACCAGGAGATAGGGTATTTAGGTTAGATGGTACCAGGAGTTAGTGTAAAAAGGAAATTCCAAGAGATGAGGTTAAAGGTAAGGGATTACCTGGAGATAGTTTAACATTGACACACGTGAGCTCTAAAGTTGCAGGTGCACTCTGATTATACATTGTGTAGAAGGCATGGTAAAAATATAATCAGAACTTTTAATTAATCTAACTATAGATAAGAACAGCGAACAAAAAACAATTAAAAAGTGAAAAAACCCAATTTGATTAAAATTTGATAAGACAATAATATATCTGATAAAGTGCTATATAATATAGATATAAATAATAAAAAGTTTTTATGCATGGTTAACCATTATTTATGACTAGGTAGAATACATCATTTATTCAGAAATGGTAACAGCTTTTCAATTGTTCATTATTGATTTATTCTTTTTATTTTGGGGGTGAATTCGGTTTTATTAGGTCTATAAGCTTATTCTCTTTTATCATCCATTATTATTGTTGTTGTCATTGATAGTCTGTTGGCTTATCTCATAAATTTACAAAAGATGTGTTTTATTTCATTCGTGGCTGATTAATTCAGCTTTCATTTTTTAACTCAGTATTATAAAATACACCTTGTAATGTTGCCTGTGTCATTGCAAGTACTTTCAGACCACTGTCATTAAAGTATTGATACGTGAAACGTGTATCATAGCATCATGCATCACTCGACTTAAATGGCATTTTTTTTTTCATCATCAATTCAAAAGGGTACTATAATTCCTCAATAAAACAAAGAAAGCTATATTTCTATTACAGGAGTATATATAGTTGGTAATATTGGTAGAGAACAAGTGTCATTTAAATGGTGTTTAATAGGTTCTTACTGTGGTTTACTATGGACTATTAAAGATATAGAAAACGTTGCTGTATTACCCACATGTTGTACATTTGTTCTACGTTGGAAAGGTGTAAAATGGAGGCTGTATAAAGAGAAAAAGCAGAGTATATGTTGGAGAATACCTAAAATCACATTCTTTATTTTATTATATTTATCATTGTTATGCAGTACCATATACTTTAATGCTTATATCACCACTAAGGATGAGGAAAAGGTAAGAATATTTTAGGTATTAAGATGTATTCTGAAATATTCAGATTGTTTATAAAAAATTAAAACAATATGAAGCTTATATGAAACAGGACTTACTTTCTCTATCATCATCAATGAAAAACCACAATTATCCTCACAATATTATTAAACAAACTTTTAATTTCATTCAGATAATAGCATCATGTTTTTCAGGTCTATCTTCGTGATGCAGTCAACAACTTCTTTAAATCACCAGCTTGGGAAGAAACCAAGGATTCTTTTACACGACTATATAATTATTATAAAGTTAATGGATGGGGTAAGCTATGGGAAGAGGTCATAGAGGCATTTGATCCTAAAGGAGAAAACAATGCTTATAAGGTGAGGTTTTATTTTTGGAAGATATGGTTTGAACTGTCATAAAATGATTAAAATGGTTAAGATAATCTGGGAAAGAGTGCCTAAAGGTTTGGCTGTGAATCTCAAAAAACACATACTGTGATACTGCTACTCTCTCTATTGACCATCTTCACATTGTCAAGCTATTACAAACTGTGTCTTATACTTTGATTGTAATAGCTTTTCAAATAACTTTCATTGTATCATGGATGTATGCAGCATTTGGTTGGATTATACTTCAGCAACTACGGCCAATCAGAGACAATGTCTGTACATGATAATCTATAATGTTTACAGTCTGTCTGTAAATGAATGGCTATATTCGCTGGTGTACAATCCAAAAAAATAGCTGCATTCCTCGAGTCATTTTGCAGATGTCTGTTATTGTGTTTGATGAAATCACTAATCACGTACGTCCATTCCGATTAGTGATAACATCAAACATTAAGTTTTAATGGAATTGCTGGAAATGCAGACATCTGATTAAATTGGAATGGTGCAAATGAATGCTATACGTGTCCCCGATGAACATAAAAAACATAGAAAACCTCTTTACATCCCCTTTAAAAAAGGCACATACTCCCCAATTTAAGAACTAAAATTTGGTTCTTCAGGTGCTTGGATTGTCAGCAAGTTCTAGTCAAGAGCAGATAACTGCCCAGTACAGAAAACTGGTGCGCAAATGGCATCCTGATAAACATAAAGATCCAGAGGAAAAAGAAGAAGCACAGAAAAAATTCATTGAAATTCAAGAAGCGTATGATATCTTATCTAGTATTAAAACTGTACGTGCCATGAGAAATAAAAAATCAGCCAAGAACCCAACTTGATAACTAGCTGAATTTAGTAATATATATTATCTTTTGGCTTTTATATTTTTACCAATTTACAATTTATCTATACAACCCAAGAAGTAGGACCACTGACAATGTCATTCCTATTTTTAAATCGAAATATTTTTAAATCTAGTAAATATCAAAATACATTTCTATTTTTAAGATAATTTACCTATTTTTATAAAAAGGAGATGTTACTACATTACTGTCTCATCCATCTGATAATCAATTGACTCAAAATCTAATCAAAATATTTATTCAGGACTAGTAATATGTATTTGAAACCATTTGATATACAAACTATTAAAAATCATTCATACTATTTATTAAATTAGGGGAACTATCATTAGAACAATAAATCACCATATTATAGAAATCCAAATTCAAATAATAAGTTGAATTGTCCGATAATGATTACAAACCAATGGAAATTATAAATACCTGTAGGATTTGCTAAAATAAAGCTTATGACTTTGTGTCCAGTAATTTGAAATATATCATTTTATTTGTTATTATATATAGAAGATTGTATTTTATTTACTATTACCTAATTCAACAGTTAAATTTTTTTTTCTCTCTCTAGGTTAAGGAAATTATTAAGATTTTTAAGATAATTCATATTTTGAGATTATTTTTTAATATCCCTATAGACTTATAAAAGATATATGAGAAAAATTAATTTCTACACATCATTGAAGATGCTAATTAGAATCTTTTACTGATCTCTTCAATTGCATGACATTTACACACTTTGCTATAATTTTTTTTAATTGACATCATTGAGTTCGTATTCAACTACTGGTCTGCTATTTATATTACCAACTATACCATATCAAAAGCATATCATCACACGCAAAATTATTTGAAGGGTGCTTTAATTTTCAAGATCATTTCCTGCCATAAACCATCTTCACATTCCCACTAATAATTTTGTATATACTTATAGTCTGTGTTGTGCAATGGTCTCTTTGAATTCTCAAAATAATTTATTTCCCCTTGATAAGCTTTGAAAAATAAGATTGCCCAATTAATGACAAATTCTATTAAGAATGTTCCGGTCATTTACAATCTCACGGCAACCGTATACATGGATTTGTTAGGCTTGCAGACACATACACTGTATAATGCAGCTTCTAGTGGTGTCATGCACTCATTTTATATTGTCTGTCGCCAATTGCCATCCTTAGCTTTTACACAGTTGATTTTGAGTTTGCAGACACATCTAAGCAGACTGTTGAATTTGTTAAGGATTTGCAAAGGTCCATTTTTATTAAATGTGTGTTAAAAGTTTGTGTACACCCTTGAGGCTGTTAAATCGCTTTCATGAATGAATTTTAATGATTGATATAAAATGTTGATGTAATTTATATAATAATTAGACTGCTGATTTATTATATCTATGCAAATTGAAAAAACCTGTGTCATTATATTATATATTATATTTAAATATACAACTGTTATCAATGAATCAATATGTTTATTAAAGAATATTCATCTAGTGTTATTGTCTCTTAAATATATGCATAACATTCCACCGTAAAATAAACAAATAAAATTAGGCATCCGGGATTTTGCCTCAGATCTGATCATTCTATGCAGATATCTTGCCAGGCAAGTAAATATATGCCCATTGGCAGCTTTGATTTTGAATAAAATATAACGCAGTACAGTAACAATTACCATTATGAAATATTCAACATCAGTCATACACTTTTAGGGGCAAAATATTACTAAGTTTCGTCAAAATCAAAAATCGTGACTTTCAGTGTTAATCAGCCAAAGATTGAAAGCGTTTTCAAGAACAAGGTCTATAACTCCTGTAGCATGGTTGAATCATTTTTTCAGTTTTAAAACAAATGTGCCTTGTTCCATCAAAATCATCCACATTATTGAGGAAAAATGAACATTTAATAACAAATGATTTGTTTAATAATTATTATAGCAGCAGCAACATACAGACTTGCCTGATAGATGGCAGAAATTAAATAACATTATACAAATATAACTTCTTGATACATATACATTATATACAAACATAACATAGTTACTGTCCACAATCTTCCCACAGCTTAAAATACAAAGAACATAAGAGAAGTCAGCTTGTCAGACAAAAAATACACATTAACAGTAGCTTTGTTTTAATAGTATCAATTAAATACCACTGGCAGCATTGATTTTAAATTGAAAAATATTTGGCAGTACAGTATCAATCACCAGTGTGAAAAATCCATACTTCATGTGGGCATATAAAAGGTTTTGAAGGGCAATATCTTGATTCAAGGGCAAGATTCTAAGTGGCTTAGTTTTGAGATAATTTATAATAATAATAATATTTATTGGTATAAGTTTATAGAGAATCATACTGGAATGTTTCTATCATAAAAATCAAAATTGTTTGAAAGTGAAATGCTTAATATCATAGGGTGTTTCCATCTAATTTAAATGTGAATCTAATTTAAATGTGAATATAGATATTTCATTTTCAGGATAAGCCCCAATCTGAGAAAGTGAGCTGTGTGTATTTTCTGACAAACTTGCCCCTTCCCTTAGTTTTCTTTGTATCAATTATAGACATAGAAATACAAAATTCAGAAACATGAATACAAATATAGCGCAAAAATATACAATCCTTTTTACAATAGCACTAAGGTTTTAGACAGGCTGCAAAACACACATCACATAGTGCAATAAATAAAATTGATTTCAGATACAGATGCGTTGGAAAGATGAGTTATGGAAAATGCATAACAGTTCACACAATACAAAGAAACTTTTATTCAATGACAGACAGAGCTGTGCATCAAGTTCCACATTCATGATCAAGTCAATATTAATAAAGAAAAATAACCCTATAAAGCACATGTATGATGCAGCCCTGATGGGAATTAAGATGAAAGCACTATAGACAAACAATTAGAAATAAGTTCTATTCATTTTATAAGCTCTGCAATTGTATTGACCACGATTTTACATTTGTCTTGAGCACAATTTTAACAGTGAAAATAATTTATTATAGTAGATAAACAAGTAAAGCAATATACAATTCTTGTTTAAAACTAACCAATCCCCCTTTTTCCATCACTCAAGCGGCTTGAGTGAGGCCCATACATTTTGATGAATTTGTAGTTGAGGTGCAGTCAAATTCATATTCTAAAAAGCAACACAGATAGCTAAACTAACAGCTAGTATGTGAAACATTAAGACAACCTTATTTCCTTAACATCTTCAGAACTCAATTTGTCTTTATCACAATAATATACAACCTCACCACTATATATAGACAATAACAAAAGGTTTAATTGCATCGCTTTCAAATATCATCTCAAAAACTACACCAAGTAAATACTAAAAAGGTTTTTTGTTTGCATGACATTTTTAAGGTTTCTTATCAATTTCTCAGGTTTTTCTATTTCATTTCTAAGTTATCATTTTCACAATCACGGATTTGAATATTTTCTTCAGCTGACATCATTAACTGCAGTGTGCACTGCAGATTTCTTTTTTTTCAACTGTCCTGAATTATATTACATTAATGATATTATAATTATGACATGGAGTGCTCAAGGCAGTATTTTTCAGAACAACTATGAAACTGGACATTTTCTTCTTTAGTTGTCTGAGAAAAGTCTGTAACAGATTACGTGTCAAGCAAAGCACAAAATGTTAATTTGCTTCCACCACATATGTATTTCAAAAAAATAAATTATCACAAAAATCCTCCAATTAGCAATCAATCACACAAGATTTTAAAATTCAAACCCATCAACTTAATTAAGTATCAATCACAATCTGAAAATAAATGACAAAATGACAAATACATGTGTAATAATCAATATTTGTAAAATAAAATTCTTGCCATCTTATTTACCACACTTTTGTGTGAACTAGTGCAATGTCTTTAAAAAGTTATTTGTAAACTATTCTAGTCTAGTTCATTTGAATACCAACACAATACTGCAATTATTCAATAAAAAATAAACATTAAAATCTACCTGTTTATTACAAATATAACATTATAATAAGTGAGTGATTATTCATCACTCTACACCATGAGCAAATATCATCACCAGTCCCGGCTCCATTATCAGATCATCAGGCATATGTTGGTTTTCACAAGCCATGATAGCAACTGCTTGTTTCCCTGTGAATAAATTTAACCAATTGCACAAAAGATTTTCGTCATATAGAATAGGAGAATTTATAGTTATGTGGCTTCACTATGCCAGACTGAACATAAATAGGAAAACTAAAAGTTATGCAAAGGATAAAAAGTGAGGAAATTGTTTAATAATTTACTGGTACATATTTTATAATTAATATGACTTTGTATCATATCAATTTGAAAAATACCTGGTATTCTTTTTGTGACATAATTTTCATACTGTCGTCTGTTTAACTGTCTAGTTTCCAGAGTACTCAAACCAGTTGGCCAACGACGTTCATGAGCATTCTCCATTAATTCATTGACTATATGAGCAGGTGAACCACTGTCTAGTAGTGCTCGCTTTATCACAGCTTGCAAGACAGCATCAGGTGTTGATATCATACCACCCCATCTTGTTACCCTCGCTGTTTGTAGATTGGACACCCACCTAAATAAATCAAGTTTTTATATTACCAAATTATCAAATCATTATAGCAAGAATTCCAGCTTTATTCCAATTTGACCAACTAATGTACACAAAACAAATTTTTCAGTTTCACATACATTTATGGCTTGATATATCAAGAAAATCATATTACCTTAATACATCTTCATTTTCAATAGTAGTCTGTATTTCTCGTATTCTGGGGTTTGATATTCTTACTGAACGTAAATACTCCTACAAGAAAAAAGATAAAATATTAAATTCAAATCTAGTATTACAATTGGATGATAATTAACGAAAACCAAACCTTCATCACAAATAACAACAAACAAATTTAAGAAGTAATAGAGAAGAAAATATGTAGTTTTATTGAACACTAATGACAATGTTTATCATATGGATATAGAGAAAAGGATACTAGATAAAAGGATCTAGTCTGGAACCACCAACGGCAGGTAGGTGATATCTGAAAGTTCATACCTTGAGTAGCTGAATATCCCTTTTCTGTTCACTTAGCTGTAATTTCTGTTCAGCCATCTCACTGCTCATATCTTGTATTTTATGTTGCATGGTTGTCATATTACTCCTTAGTTCCCGTACACAATTATGGTCCTAAAAAAGGAAATAAAAGGAAATTTTCATCTTTGTATAGTGGTATTTCATGGTATCTATTTCAGGTAATAAAGGTAACAATTTTCTCAAACATATCAGATATCAATTATCATTTTGTCACTACATGTACAGAGATGTAACCTATTTTCGTGGATATAAGGATTCAACACCGAATTTTGTCAAAATTAAAAAAAACAAAAAAAAAATGTTATGTCTTAGAAGTTTCCTCAGATATTCTACAAAATAATTAAAGTAGGTTTATTTTGATTTTCTTTATGAATCCTTCACTTTGACCCATATTTCATGAGCAACCAACTCGGCCACGGCGGCAGAATGTGTCACCTATTTTCGTGTACAATGTTTGAACTATAAATAAGTCGAGAAAAACACGTTGTATGGATACCGGGTGGTATAATTAACTTCTCTTAGTATTTATCTTTAATATCAATTCATTATAACTAGTGACAATTCCTTCAAAGAACCACGATTTAAAAAAAAGATAGCTTGCCAGGCAAGGTAACATACGCCCACTGGCAGCTGTCAGAAATGATTAAACAGTCTTTAGTGACTACAGAGTTGCACAATATAGCTAATAGAGTGAAACGTCAAGTCAGACACGATATTTCGGTTAAATATTATCCGATCATCGCGAAAATCAATAGGGATCATCTTCATAATGACATTGACACACAAAATAAAAATCAAAAGAATCTGTAAAAAATTGTAGCCTGTAGAGTGAGCACGAGTTGCACAATATAGCTAATAGAGTAAAACGTCAAGTCAGACACGATATTTCGGTGAAAAATTATCCGATCATCACGAAAATCAATAGGGATCATCTTCATAATGACATTGACACACAAAATAAAAATCAAAAGAATCTGTAAAAAATTGTAGCCTGTAGAGTGAGCACGAGTTGCACAATATAGCTAATAGAGTAAAACGTCAGGTCAGACACGATATTTCGGTGAAAAATTATCCGATCATCATGAAAATCGATAGATCATCATGAAAATCAATAGGGATCATCTTCATAATGACATTGACACACAAAATAAAAATCTAAAGAATCTGTAAAAAATTGTAGCCTGTAGAGTGAGCACGAGTTGCACAATATAGCTAATAGAGAAAAATGTCAAGTCAGACACGATATTTCGGTAAAAAATTATCCGATCATCACGAAAATCAATAGGGATCATCTTCATAATGACATTGACACACAAAATAAAAATCAAAAGAATCTGTAAAAAATTGTAGCCTGTAGAGTGAGCACGAGTTGCACAATATAGCTAATAGAGTAGAACGTCAAGTCAGACACGATATTTCGGTGAAAAATTATCCGATCATCACGAAAATCAATAGGGATCATCTTCATAATGACATTGACACACAAAATAAAAATCAAAAGAATCTGTAAAAAATTGTAGCCTGTAGAGTGAGCACGACTTGCACAATATAGCTAATAGAGAAAAACGTCAAGTCAGACACGATATTTCGGTGAAAAATTATCCGATCATCACGAAAATCAATAGGGATCGTCTTCATAATGACATTGACACACAAAATAAAAATCAAAAGAATCTGTAAAAAATTGTAGCCTGTAGAGTGAGCACGAGTTGCACAATATAGCTAATAGAGTAGAACGTCAAGTCAGACACGATATTTCGGTGAAAAATTATCCGATCATCACGAAAATCAATAGGGATCATCTTCATAATGACATTGACACACAAAATAAAAATCAAAAGAATCTGTAAAAAATTGTAGCCTGTAGAGTGAGCACGAGTTGCACAATATAGCTAATAGAGTAGAACGTCAAGTCAGACACGATATTTCGGTGAAAAATTATCCGATCATCACGAAAATCAATAGGGATCATCTTCATAATGACATTGACACACAAAATAAAAATCAAAAGAATCTGTAAAAAATTGTAGCCTGTAGAGTGAGCACGACTTGCACAATATAGCTAATAGAGAAAAACGTCAAGTCAGACACGATATTTCGGTGAAAAATTATCCGATCATCACGAAAATCAATAGGGATCATCTTCATAACAACATTGACATACAAAATAAAAATCAAAAGAATCCATAAAGAACTGTAGGCTGTAGAGTGAGCACGAGCCAAATGTGAACGGACGGACGGACCAACGAGGTGATTACAATATACGCCCATCTTACGTGTGGGCGTATAAAAATCAAAAGAATCCATAAAGAACTGTAGCCTGTAGAGTGAGCACGAGCCAAATGTGAACGGACGGACGAACCGACGGGGTGATTACAATATACGCCCATCTTACGTGTGGGCGTATAAAAATAGTGACTGACAAAATAAGATACGTAGCGTGATTTATTGCTAAAAGTCACTGAAACAACATAAGAATATGGTCCACTTTGTGTTCCATAGAAATTTTCTGCTGACACGGAATCCGCTAGTTGATCACGTGACTTCATTCGTTGGACTACATTCTAGCAGTCGACACTTGGAATTCCGATTACCGCTTGGGATTATAAGGAAATTCGGCCGATAAAAAATGGTGACGTTTGGTAATAAGTGAAATCCGCCTTTTGTATTTGTCAAAGTATACATTAATACAGTTTACTTTGCTTGAAACTACTGGATTCATTCTACTAGCTGACATTGTAGAGATAACACATGTTTATCAAAACAAGCTAATGCGGAGGTTGCGCAAGGTCGCTCATGCAAATTATTTATCAGTTCCAGAAATCCAGGAATAATAGGTTTCCACGAAATTAGGTTACTTGACTGTAATTCATCAAAGAATGAATTTGTTTTGTTTTTAAATTTTAAAATATGAAAGCCATAATTGTTTGCTTAAATAGTTCCCTAAATAAATTACAAAATACCGTCTTAAATGATTATGTGTATAATAAAGTAAATCATCAGAATTACCTTCAATTCATCTTTAGGTATTGTTAAGCCACACCCACTTTCGCATGTGACAGGTTTTTTAGGATTATGTTCACACTCTTGAATATGTGTTTGAAGAGTATCAAGTTTGACAACAGTTGTACAACCATAATTGACGTTATCACATGCTATCATGAGGCGGGAGAGAAGATTGCGTAGAATTCTTGGTACTGGCTTTAATTGGTTTGGCATAATAGGACTCCGATCAACTGGACATGTTGGTTGTCTTGTCAGCCATTCATGTATGCACCCAGCACAGAAAGCATGTTCACACTGAGGAGCCTAAAAAGAGAATACAAACATTAACATTGTTTCTTATTTTAAAGAAAATATAAGTATTCATCGATAAAAGAATCATTTGTTTAGAGGTTTATGCCAGCTAACCATCCGAAGAACTATTAAAATATCAATAATCTTAGCTTTATTATAACCGAGTAGTAAGTTTAGATCAACTTTAGCAAATGATAAAATTCAACTTAAAACTATCTTCCTGAAAAGGAAGTACCAAAAATGCTACTTTCCTTTCAGAAAAATAACTTGTTGCAGCAATAAAAGACTAACATGGACGGCCAATGAGATCTGTAATAAGGTTATATACCCACCTGTAAAGGTTCCTCTAAAACACAAGAACAAATCGGACAGATAAGTTCTTCATCCACGTCGCCTTGAAAGCGATGCAAATCGTACCCCATACCACCTGAAAAGAGAAGAATTAACTTGTCTCTTAGTCTATTGGTCTCTTTGAAACAAATCAACTTATAGACACCATGACAGTTTGTCATAAGTCATAAGTTGGGTAGACCAAAACATCGTCTCTATTCCAGCCTCTGATAGCTATTTTGAAAGATGTCAGCTGGTGTAGAGACAGAAAAATAATAGGCCCTGATAAATGGGGACATTCCGCATCTCCACAGGTGCATGGGGTCTTAAACCTATTTAGATACCTGAAAGAAAGATGAAAGATGAATATTTTTGTAGTCCAGTCATACCATCATTTTCTCCCTACACCATTTATGTCATTAAATCAATAATTCAACATTATGTGAAGACAAAACCCATCTTTGGAGGTGTGGAAAATTCCCATTTAACAGGGTCTTTTCTTCTGACACTACTCCAGCTGACGACTGTCAAAATATCTGTAAGGAATAGAGGTTGATGTTTCAGACTAAAGTATCAAATATGTAATACCATACTGTTATTAGGTCTACTCAGTTAAGACAGAAATCCTGAGCATATTACCTTCTTCATCATCTTCCACGTCAGAATCACTCCTGACATTAATCACAATCATTTCAACTTGATATTCAAGTAATGATAGTATGATTTACATAAATCGTTCAAGAACTGTTTAAAATTATAACCAGTGTTAAAAGACACTGAATATATATAGACATGGCATAAATAGAAGTCCTCTTATCTCAATATTCATAAGATAAGGAACAAAATTGTCTTTTAAAAAAAAACTTGACTGGCATGCCTTGTGTCGTGATAAGTGATTGATAAGATAAGGAAAACAACCCTAGAGTGGATATTCTATCACATCTGTACACAGATATCTGCTCTAAAAATCTACCTCGAAAGGTACTTACAAGTTAAATGTTTCCCCAAGACGTTCGTTAATTACTGTTTCAGATAAATTTTGAAAACTAAACGCCAAAACTGGCATTTGTCGAATCTTTCTCCGACTTGGCTTCCGTCGATATGCGTCGAATCAAACTCTGATTATCCAGTGACAGAATTTTGGGGAAAAAAGCCAATTGCGACCTGTTAACCTCGTCTGAATACAACAGATAACTCTCATTATGCTTCCTCTTTCCAACCACATCGAAACAAAACATGATTTTTAGTTCCAAATATTGTTAATTTCTGATATTTTACGAATTTTATTATATAATACTTTTACAATTCAAGTTAGTCTGAGAATTTTCTTTTTATTTGAACATTTTGTCAGCTTTAATTTGTGGCGTTGATTAAAAACGACACGTTTTCTTTTTAAAGACAACAGTGTCTTAAAGTTAAACAAAGCAGCCAGGGTATTGTTACGGCAGAAGTAATTTGATTTAAATAGTCTACAGTTACAGCACATTTTCTGAGCATGAGCACGTTATCGTCGCCCTACAAATATTATGTTGTTTGGCACAGTAAAGATATGTCCCATACTCTAAAACTAAGCCTAACAAGACCCTAATTAAATAGTATTTAATGAAATGTATTTAACCTAGGATCCCCACGCCGGCGACGGCTGCGGCACTCAACCAGGAGAAGTGTTTTTCGGGGCATGCTTAAAAGTCCTTTCTGTAGCTTTTGTGTGAGTGTGACCTGAACCTGAAGTTCCTGGCTGCCGTAATTTATTTGTTCAACAGGATTTCTAACTTGACTGAAATATTTTGCCCATGTGTACTACTATACCTTGAGACTTGTTTGTATCTTAAGTAGCCTATATTGATTTGAGGCCTAATAACTATGTATATTCTTTATTTTACCGGAATTATTTATTTTTTGTAGAAATATGGCGGATGAAGAATTTGATGGAGATGGTTTTGATGATGGACCCGATGATCTGGATGATGATAATGAATCATTGGGAGAAATGGGTGAAGGTCAGGAGGGAGGAGAAAATATTGAAGTGTTGACTGGGGAGGCATCACAACGACCTCCAGGTCAAGTAGAACCTAGTAAACGTATTACTACGCGCTATATGACTAAATATGAACGTGCTCGAGTATTGGGAACTAGAGCGTTACAGATTGCTATGTGTGCTCCGGTCATGGTGGAGTTGGAAGGTGAAACAGATCCCCTACAAATTGCTATGAAAGAAATGAAAGCAAGGAAAATTCCGTTCATAATTAGACGTTATCTTCCAGATGGAAGTTTTGAGGATTGGGCTCTTGATGAATTGATCATTTATGGACATTGATTTTTGTAGTTTCATCTGTGAATAGGTCTAATTCTCATTCTAACATGTAGCATGAACTCAAATTAATCTTATAGTATTATTTCACAGGATGTACATTAATGTTAAAAAATATGCAGATATTAAGGAAGAAAACCTTGAATTGATGAGAATTTAAAGTAATATTGATTTCAAAGTCTCAGCCCCTGAAGGACTTTTATATATGGAGTTGTATTATTTAGCTTTGTACGGGGTATATTGTGTGCTGTACATCTGTAATGACCGTTTTGATAACTAGAAATTACATTTCAAGGAGAGTTTGTAATAACATTAATGGCTTGACTTTACACATTTTCTCAAGTTATCAATATCATTTTCATTGTTCATTTCAATATTTGGTGTTCTCCAGATATTATTAAATTTGATGTACTTCTTGAAAAATATTTATTGTTTCTCTTTACTTACATTATATTACTTACTTACAGAATAGATGCAGGATATTGGCAAAAAAAAAGGTCTCAAATATCTGCCATAGTATAGAAAATAGGTTAGGAAATATGGGGGATTTCTACAATTCGACTGAAAATGACAAATACTTAACTTAGCTGAATAACGCAATTTTGCTCAAAGCTAAAAAATATATTTGGAAAAAGCAGAAAAATAAGGCACAAACTGTCGTATCATCTAGTTTATTTTATCATTACTATTTTGCTAAATGGAATTCATCTACGATAAAGACAATGCCTACTCAGCTTATTTTAAACCCTGAATGTCAATCACAGCAGTCCAGTTGGCCCGAATCTATCGTGTCGTGGGATTTTGTCTGCATATCCATGTTTTGTTAGGTTGTGCTATGTTACCTCACGGTTTACGGTTCAGACCGAAGCAGAATTCAACGTACAGTAATGATACAGCCTGCAAAGGGACACACATCGGGTCGCACCGTAATTGAAGTGTAACAGCTATAGTTTACCGTAGGTTGCCATCAGAACCGTGGAAACGCTGAAAGGACCACTGCCAAGTTTTGTTACAGGCCATTACGTATTTTCACGTTTTGTAGCGTTTACCCAGCTTTAAGTCCAGATCACACTATCACGGATCACCTCGCAGGTTCCACTACGGATTAAATCTCACGGATGACCCCGAGGCTGGAATAGAGGTAGATGTTTCGGACGAGGGTCTAGGTCTGGTATTCAGTTAAACGACTTTCTCGTCATAATCCACAAAAAATACAAGCTTTAGTGCTTGATGGCGTCACTAACCTTTAGGGATAAACCACTAATTATGAATCTTAAGTAAAGTGTATTAATGTCTCTCAAGACAATCAGAGTTGGCAATTGGTCATAGGTTATTGTAAACACTTGCTTTGACCAAATTGCCAAGAATTGCGTTGATCATAGAAGAAATTTCTTTAAAAATTGGATCTTGCAAAATAGGATTGCTCAGTTTTTTTTTTGTATAGACCATATTTTATTCAATAAATGAAAGTTTCACGCTCCACTCCTGTGAGATTAGACTTCTCATGCGTGATTGATAACTTAGAATTGCATTTTCATACTTGCAAAGTTATATCTGGATTTATGGCAGCCTTGGGTGGATAATCAGAAATGCCTTAAGTAGACTACTTTAGTCTCGGAAACAGGAATTTTTTTTAGCTAATACCCTTATTTCCCCAAAGATTGTTTTTTTCCAATCGGCCCGATCTGTGCCAGATTATCCCCAATGATGTATTTTTTGATCGGCCCAATTGTCGTCTTGAATCACCTCAAATCGCCCCGACCACTGGATTATTGCTGAGGGGCGATCCTCGAGCGATCTTCTGCGTAGGTACACGACAAAGGCTCGCTTTTCAGTGGCCAAATGTAGGCGTAGGTTGACAAAGGGAGCCACAGGAAACCGAAATTTTCTAATGAGGCCATTTTCCAGGAGATGATTTGGTCCCGACAATACCGACCATTAGTCGATCGGCCGCATTTTTGCGCAAAAAAAAATCGGGAACCTCCGAGCACTCTCGAACCTTATACATTCTGGGACGGTCTGGAGCGATCGCCTCGGGTATCGAAAAAGGGACCGGCTACTGTTTTTACCATGTAGAGGGGATA